TGTAGGAAAACTGTTACATGATCTTCTACTTTAAATTCATTTGCATTTTTTTTCTACTCCTCCCTTACTTTATTTTTTTCCTGAACAAAATTATAGGCATTCTGCAAAATTAGGGTTAAAAATAAAAAATTCAAAGCAGGAACATCACACTGAAGAGGATCACTTTTAATTTTGCTACCATGAAACAAAATCTTTATTATGGGGAAAAAGTAACTAAGCCTTTGACATTTTAGATCTTTTTTTTTTCACTTAAGAGATAAGGGAATTTTTTTTTAAATTCATCATTTTTTCTGTGTATAATCCAATTTAATTTTTCAGTATAATTGTAATGAATTATAGACAAGCATATTCTCTCCAGTAGAAGAAGAAATGGTAAGTGGGGTAAAGCGGAAGTTCCTCAGATTTTTTAAGTCACTGTAAATTTCAATTTGTCTGCCCCACTTATTTGTTGCGCATATGATGCAGAGGTCTTTGTTGCAAAACATTCTTAACCCTCTCTAGAAATGCAAAGTTTCCTTCATGTTGGAATGGGCTGGCCCCTTTGACACCCATTGGGTCTGCCCAATATAGAATGGTCTGCCCAGATGAGAGAAAAATCAAACAAAAGCCCATTTACAGGTACCCATGGGTTGTCCATCTTCTCCTTGGCCTCTGCAACACTGAGACAATCTTAACTGCTTAAGTAGATCCCTGAGTTCACAAGATGACTTTGAAAAGTTTTGTGGCTGTTTCAGCATAAAAGCATGGCTCTGTGGATCTGATGGCAGGAATGTTGCCTTAAACTGGTTTGGACAATGACACTATTATTCCTTCATTCGACGAACAGTGGTTGAAATTGTAAATAATTGCTTTCCACGTAGACGGTAGGGAGCACAGCTGCTACCTTGAGAAAAAATCAAAATGTTTCACTTCCAAAATATCTTTATAAATCCATATAAATGTATTTTTCATTCTGTGTTCCTGGGAATAGTTAAACCCAGAGTTAGTAGTAGAGTTGCTGAAATATTGCAGTGAGAGCTGTCATCAACCTCTTCTTAGTGTTTGGGTCACTTTGGCACCTGCAGTCTTGAGATTTTGAAGCCTCCAAACTCAACCTCCGTCTGAATGCAGTCTGAGCTACTCTTTCAGAGATTTGCACCTCTGACAGGCAGTTCTGTTGAGACTGGCAACAAGCCTACTAATTTTTACCAGTTGTGGCAGATTGTTTCAATGTTTTTTACGCTTAATATAAAGATGGTATGCTTAAATGCCTGGATTTTCATGTTCAAAGCCACTGAAACTTTCCTCACTGGTAAAATCATGTATTCACTCTACTTTTGCTTAAATGCTTCCAGATTACCTGAACACACAACTGCACTGCAGCTCTGTTTAGATTACTAATTTCCTTCTGTCTGAAAGCCCTTGAGATGTCCAGCCATGCTTTTCCCTGGCCCGGAAACATCTAGAGCACTTCTTGATGTTATCAGTGGGCTGCACACGGAGCTGGGCTCCATTCCCTATTTTGCTGTTCGTGTAAAAGGCTTGCAGAAATGCCTAAGTGTGGACAAGCATGACAGCAGAACGATGGCAATCCCTGACTGGCCAGTGGCCCCTCAGGATACTGCTACCATCTAGCATAATACAGAGCAGCCAGTAAGAACTCCTGTCTGTTTTGGCTATGAGGGCAGAAGAAAGGGGACATATGACTTTCTTCTAGAACTTACTGCCCTGTAAAAGGATTTTAAAGAATCTTTGGGGAAAAATTTAGGCCTCAGATGCACATATGTGGATCTCGTTGATTTCATAGGAGGGCATGCGAGTGTGTACAATAACAGACAAGGCATTCCTTTTGATCTTTAAGAGCAAATAATATAAAACAGAGAAATACACTACTATGTAATAAGATATCTTTTACTATTTTGTTAAAAGTACTCCCGAAGCTCAAATACAAAACAATGTAGCATCCTAGGCCATGGTCTTTTAATGATGGATCTTCACCAATGCTTATCACCTTTGATGCTGTTTGTAAATTTCTTTGGCTGTTATGCTTTGAACTTCAGTAAAACATTTGTACTTGTTATTAAACAAGACCAAGCACTTTCCTGTCCTCACGTCTGTCCATGCTTGAGAATGGCACTGTAATTGGAAGAGAAAGGAGAAATAGTTGTCCTGACTTTCTGCGGAGACTTCCCTGTACCAAGTCTTTCCTGCTGCCACACAAAACACAACTGTGATGTCTAAGCACTCATTCCATAAGCCTGCAAGCACAGAGCATTTCAGCACATGCTTACACTTATGAGCATATGGGTTGCCAAGTACCCCTTGTAGCCAATACCTTGAAGAGTGTGATGGATTAAAAACCTCTGCAGACATAGACTTTGCAAGGGCATGTAAGACTGACAGCTTGAAGCTGTCAAATCTACGGGGTCTATCTACACCTTGAAACTTCTATAGCTGCATCTGCCTGTGAATGGCTGGTAATGAAATGCAATGAACCTCAATTGAGGGTATCTTTGCTTTCTTTTTGCCTACCTGAAATTCCCAGTGTGTTGAACTGCCAGATGTATTCACTGTGAAATCTGAAGCAGCTTCTGCCTGGAAAGGTTCCCATAAATAGAAAAACAAGTCCAGGAGCGAGCAAGTGGCATTGAACAGTCTGTTTGCAACAGGTTCTTAGGGGGAACAGCAAACTCTTATCAAAGTGTTTCTTTACCAGGGAAACAACACAATGTGCCTTTTGAAGAGGAAACTAACATAAGGTCCTTTCAGGTCTCTATTGGTCTGTTAAATTGCAAATAAAAAGGAGATAAACTGTAGGAGTCACTTTGTCAAGGAAACAGTATTGGGTGAATAGAAGGATCGTTGTTTCATCTCAGAACAAGAAATTACATGTTCCCTTTTGAAGTGAGCTGTGGTCTTGTTCCCTGCTCCCCAGTCTGTCAGTTATACAAGAGACCTTTCTCCTGAAGGGTTTCCATAAGTCTTCCCAGACTGATTTTGTTCCTGCTTTTGTGCTTGAGCATCTGCATCTTTCTGACTGAAGTGGTCTGCAGGTAATCACCTTCAGGCAGAAACTGAATCTAGAACCTTTCCATCTGATGCTGTAGCTGAGATTTTAAGAAGTTGTGAACAATGGAGGGGAAGATAGCAACAGCCCTGTTATAACAATGCATGCAGCCCTGGCCATAAGTGGCACTTGTATTTTAGAAATAATAAATATGTATCTTTGGCAGTATTTATATTGTGCTGATTCTCTGAATCCAATGGACTGAATACTTTTTGCTATTAAGCTTCATAGATTACAGCTGAAGTAATAATATTCTATGAAAAGCCATTTAGCTCAATCAGTTTTGATTGTAGTTTTATTGCTTAGTTGATTGTATCAGATGCTATTTGTTCTATCCAGATTCACACCTATAAAACATTTAATATTATTTTTAGTGACTTTAATTTGGTGGGGAAAATGACTTTTTTGTCCCCCTCCCCATCTCTTCAAAGAGTACTGCCTGTAAAAAAACAGAATTCCAAAACAAACAAAAAAACAATCCCCAGAAATCCACCACAAACACCAAAACTCTGTTTTTTCAGGCCTTGTTAGACTATTAGAAAATACTTACTTTGCAGAAGATAGCTACTGATGTCGAAGTGAGGAATAAAATGCTATTGCTAATTGAAAAGTATTGACATAGCTGGAGATCAGGTACTCCTTAGCACCTATCCACTGTCCCCTTTGTAGTAAGGAGATATGCCTGCAGTGCTCTGGGGAGGGGAGCAGATGAAGCTAAAACACTCTTCATATAATACTGTATTACAAGGAACCTTTTCAGTGTGTTAATGCAGTAAAATCCCTGTTATCTGAATTCCATATTCTTCAATTACCGTAACTTATGATTCAGATAAATGGGAATCACCGAGATATAAACTTGCAGAGTTTATTAACTCACCGGATATTAATCTCTTCCTAGTATTATTTATATAATCTGCAGCATGATCTGGCACATAAGCACAGCAGGTTTAGTTTAGTTTAGTTTACAAATTCTATGCAAATTGCCTCTTTCACCAAAAAACGCATTCAACTTAGACCTCAGGGTATAAATCTGAATTTATGTTAACCAGGCTTCCTATGTTCGAGTTGGTAAGTGTATCCTAACAGATTCATCAGAAAGAAGGATAGTCAGTGCGGAAATGAAAAAAAAGAAATTATCTGTATTGCAGCACACATAGAAGTGGAGATAGGATCTACTTTCATTCTTTTCCAGCTGCAGGAAGATTCTAGATAGTGTTCTGGACTGCTTCTTTCTTCTGTTTATATTAGTAGAATAGAGTAGAGAAAGTCTTGGGGCAACTGATGCCCTATGGTGAATTGATTGAAGTAGACGCAGATAGATTATTTGTGAATTTTGTTCCTGGCACTACAAACAAAAGAGGATGCTGAAGGTAGTTTTTCTAAGCATCAAAAGTGCAGATAAAGTATATTTTTTCTGTGGGATGGGTTAGTTGGATGTAGAGCTGCTCCTTAAAGTTTAGGCCAGCCTAATTAAATAAGGGTATACATTAAACACTTCAATCTATAGCTTCTGCCTGTCTTTATGTGAGGCGTTTGGTTGGTGCTGAACCCTTGTTTAATTTTTGGTTTAGCTTGTGCACACAGCTGAAGTTTATCTAAGCTTATTTCCTTCTTAAGGAAAATGTGCATATTGGAATCCAGAATGCCTCACCCTCTTTTTGGTGCTGTGCTACCTTCTTTCTGACTGTCAGGGGTGGGAAAGGCCACAGGTATTGCCCCTCTGTAGAATAAGTAAATTGGGTATGTTTGTTTTTAGGTGGAAGAAAAGTGTCATCCAATCCTGCTATTCATTTTGATGCTCAAAGATGACATAAAAGCTGCATGCCAGGGAGGAATGCCCATTGAGAAGGAAGAAAGCAGCCCTGCACTCCTCTGTGATTGGGACTGACTGTGTTGTTGCTGGGTGGATGCTGCGTAATGCTGTTGCTGCTCCTGCTCCAGCACCGTGATGTTTCTGTTCCAGATTGTGCTGACTCACATTCGAAAAAAAATGATACATAGATACAATGCACTGTAACTCTTTTCCTTTCCCTCAGTAACCTCGGTAAGTGTTTTGTTTCTTTTTCCTCTCTTTGGCTAGTGTGGTGCTAATATAGCTTTATAGTTAGAATTAGTAGGAGGGGGAAAGGCAACCTTGTAAACAAGCTGGTAGCATAGAGATTAATCATGGGGAGGGCATTTAAATGCAACCTGCTGTTTGTGGTACATCCACCTCTCTCTAAAGCTGATCAATCCTGATAACTCGCCCGTCTCTACAAACTACACTTCTTAAATGGGAGAAGTGCTTACAATGCCCATTTACAACTGTATTCTGTTTAATTAGTCAGCACAGCCAGTGCTGCAGGGATAGATCACTTGCCTTTAAAGATTTGAGAATGTTAATAGTACAGTATATCATTTTAATTATTATTGGATTAATGTTGTGTCTCGAAGAACATCTAATGCAAATCACAAGAAATGGCCTGAAGTGACCCAAGGGTTGTGCTTTATTAGAAAAGTAATAGGTCCATTGCTTAAACATAAAGAGAGGTTCTTTCTTCAAATGTCACTGCGCTGGGTTTCTCCATATGTGTATGTAGAAATGAAATCCTTTTGCTTCCATCTTTGTCCACAGAGAGTTTCTATAGCTCATGTTTTAAATGGCTGAGACAACAGCCGTAATACCAAGAGATGAAGAGGACATCCAAAATAATTGTGATGATGAAGATCGATTTCCGAATCATGATACTGTTATGGCATCCCTTGGTTGCTCTGCCAGCCCTTCGTTAGCCAGCCTTAATGAAGACAGGGGAAGCTCAATGGTGCCAGAAAGATTGTCTGTCCTCTCCAGCAAGGCCGTGACCCTGGTAAAAGCCCTGACTGTCCCAGAGATGGTTAGTGGTGGCCAGATCCAGAGAACAGCCTCTGGGCTGGCTGAGCATCATATGACAGCTGTAGATGTATCACTGGGTGGCTCGTTGTACCCTGTGGTAGTTGGTAACCTGCAGCCTGTGGACATTGCCTCCCTGTGCTCCAAAAGCTCCTTCTGTAATGGTGAATTGAGTTCGGAAGTGCTGCAGGTCCCAAGGGTGCTCTGCGAGGCCAGCGAACCCCCACAGGCTGGGACTGACCAAAACAACTACCACACACAGCAGGAAGGAAGTGGCACCAAGAACTATACGGCCTCTTGTAATCTGAGCCATGTGATTTGGATGAAGACCACAGCAGTAATGGAGACCTTAGAAAATAGGAAACAAGAGGAAAAGGAGAAGTACCGGCTCCAGCTAGCTATGTACCGACGGCTTCTGCTGTTGCGCTCCATCAGGAGTTTGCATAGGCAGCTGGAGCAGCAGCAGGCCAGGTTGAAGGAATGCTATGGCATGGTAATAAATACCAAGAAAGAAGTGTTGAAACACATCTGCTCAGCCTCGCCCACACCTTCGCCATAATCATGTTGCTGCATGCAAAAATGAGCTTTGCAATGCCACCGGAGCCGCCAGCAAGCTTGCATGCTACCGGGGTGGTGTCCTCATACCCAAGGGTATGTGCCCATGTGCACTCAGAGTAGAGAGGAAACAGCAACAGCAGCAGAGCAAGAAGAGAGGAGAGAAGGAGAAGTGTGGGCCCCCGAATTTATCTGGAGGAAATCAGTGCAAGATTGAACCTGTGCGAGAAGTTGATTCCTGATGCACACTCAAAGCCTCAAGCTGAAATAGAATTTTTTGGCATATAGGTTGATAAAAAGAAAAAAAAATCATCACGAAATAGGGAACCTAGTCTGACACCTGATCCATAAAGGTGGTCAGATGCAGGGTTGCTACCTGCTGAATATGTGATATGGTACATCTCCCTTCTACTTTCAGCACTAACAAAACTTGAACAGAATTAGGATTTGTTTTCCTGCAAGAATACCTGAATCTAGAAAGTCCGGATATTTGAAATACTTAAACTCAGTTTCGATCCTATCTACCTAGCTGCCTGTTTTTCACAAAATTGTGAAGGCCATTGTACATTTGCAACCTCTATTTTCCTTTAAAATTTATTCAGACTGCCTAGAAATTATTGTGGGAAGGTAGGACAGTTGCACACACAGGGAAACAGCACAACTGCCTAAGCCAGATTTCCGCAGGAAAGCAAGGTAAAAACAAAGGCCCTGTAATCTGATGTTGCATTGGAAACCCAGGCTGGCAGTGCCAGGGGAATGTTTGAGGTCTGCACAATTATTAATCTGCTGCTAACTCCCAGTAGCACTAGCATCTGCAAATCAAGCATATTTTGTGCCTTACTGCTGTCATTTAATGGAAGTTGGTGACAATTAGCACTTTTTATCCAGGTGTATTAGACATGTGGAAAACCCTGGAGCACTGTTTCTCCAATTGTAAGGTTAGGATGCCTGCAGGGAATTTGATGTCAGTATGCAACAAATACACAGGGAAAATGAAAGCAAAAATATGCAACTTTTTTGTATGCATTTAAAAGGCAATGTGCGTGCCTATTATTGAACAGCAAATTGAATAGTTGAATGTGCTGTTTTAGGATCTGAAGCAAAACATGATTCAAGAAGAAAAGGTGCAAAAAAGTTTCCTTTTCTAGGATTTAAAGTAGTATGGAAAAAAAATCTCATTTTCTTCAAATGTTTATTTCTGATCATTCCACCTTTCCTTTTCCTGGGTGTTTTTGTCTTTTAATAATAGTTTAAGTAGATGAATAGTCAAATTTTTTTTTTCTCCTGCATTAAAAGGCAAGCCTATTATTAATATTCCTACCTTTCTAGAATAATGTGCTATACATAGGAAACCTTTTATTCTCACCTTTTTTTTCAGTGCATACGGGAAAGGGGTGTTGGTCTATGCATGCACACACACCTCCCTGTATTCAAGAGGTTATGAAAGGCTGGTGTTTCTTTTTTTTTCTGTAGCAGAAGAAAGAATAATGTCTCAAAATAATCTCTGCTGTCTATGAGGAGTTTGGTTGATTAGATTCACATACACACATCTGTGAGCAAGGTATTGAAGTAATTCAACAAATGAAGTGCAGCACAACATTGTCATTATTCCGTCTTTGTATTTCTGCGCACCCAAAATTATGGAAGCCCCCTGGGTATGCACAACCTTAGATAGGTTCATTCATCTCCTTGGGCCCTTATGTAGCCTCTCACGCAGCATGAACTAGTAACTTTGAATGCAGAATTACCATAGAAACATCCTTGGCATCAAGGAGATATTTGAAGGAGCATCCTCTCTGCCTCATTTGGGGAATTCAGGTTGCCAGAGGCCTTTAGTGGGCTACAGAGGAGAGCTGGGGGTTGCATGTGACTGAGAAACATTACTCCTGAGCTCTGATCCCATCTAGCTCTCTGCTCAGCCTTGGGAAAGATGTTCTCTCTCAGCAATGCAGGTTTCCCAAAGAGTTCCTAAATACCAAACTCATCTCAAAGGTAACCCATTCTTTCTTAACGTGCCTCTCAAAAAGAAGTGTTGATCATGGCCAACAGGGCAATGTAAAAATCCTTTTATTTCCACCCTCAACACCCCCCCCCCCAGCCCCCCTTCCCAGCTTCATGAACTACAAAAGCCTTTTGTCATTGGTTAAGAGTGAGTGTTATGTGAACCAAACAAGCAAACCACTATTATGTCATCTCTCCTGGGGAAAAAAGTGTTGGAGAAGGATCATATTTAAAAAATATGACTGCATTTTGAATCCAAATTTCTAATTGTTTCCCTTAGGAAAACAGTCAAAATGAATATTGTTGTTAATGTTGGTCAACTTTTTTTTAGACTGAAAAAAATTATCTGCTAAATTGCATTCAGGTTGACTAATACTATCATGTAGCTTTCCACTGAAATAAAATAGATGAACAAAAATATATTAAAAAAAAAAAAAGAACAAACAACCAAAAATACCCCCAAAAAATTACAAAACACCCTGGTAAGACAAAGTCACTGCTTTACCTCAATAGTTGCTGAAGTGCAGTATTGTTCTGCATTTGTTGCAAGAATGCCCTTCATTACTGCTTAAAGCTACCTAGAGTGTCATATTTGCATTTAAGAGTGGCTAGAATAACATTAAAAAGTACTTCTCACATAACACCTACTGCAGCCACAGCTAGTCTCTCAATCTGTCCAACTGTAAATTCTTTGTGGCAGAACTGTGACAATCTTTGTTTTGTACATTTCATAAAATTTCTTGATCAGCAGATGATTCTGCATTATGAGATTTGTGCATGAGCAATGCTGTCTGACAGCTGGCAGGAAAATGAAGCCAAGACTTACTCTGTGCATGCTCATTCTTTCCAACTAGTACGTTTATGGCTACATGCAAAATAAATGTTAACTGAGGAAATACCATCGGTCTTTGCAACAATTTGCTGTTTAGCTGGTGTTTCTAGGGTGGTCACCTACTAATAGGTGAAGTTGGACAAATCAATTAAATGCAATATGATTTTAAAAATGAATTTGTTTTAGTAACTTGGAAAGTGTTGCTATGTTTTTTTTGCTTGGATGATTTTGTATGCTTTGGAAGTTGAAGGTCAGTGAGAAAGTGACAGAATGCCATGGGTAACTCATGGAGGTGGTTTCAGGCACACCAGACAGAGCAACAGTCTTAGATTTTATAAAAGTCTGTCCTCTTAAATTCTTCAACCTCCTTATGCTTTTAAGAGGTTTGATAGTTTGGATGAGGTTCAACTAAATTTCTCAAAATTTGTACTTTTATCTAAACTCAACTCACAGGGGTCTCACAGATCTTGGGTACTGATGACAAAATATTTCTAGTAGGGCCTTTCTCCCCACTATCTCTTCTGTCTTCCAGAGCTGTCAAAATAATGATGTCCACGAGAAATCTTTTCTGCAACTTGACAGTTATGCTACCCACTCTTACAGCAAAGCTTGAATTTAAATGATGTTGCCTGAGCCTTAAGGTTCTGCTACTCATCTAATTCTGAAATGGCAGAAAATAATAATGGGTTTACTGTGAAAGGCTGGGATATTTAAAAGGTGTCAGCTCTCCTGGAACACTCGTTACCACTAAAAAAGTTGTAGCTTGTGCCCACCTGAAACAAGAAATCTTCAAGAAAGAATGGAGTTATGGACAGTTAAGTGACAACATGCATTACTGACATGCTCTTTAACAAAGTACTTTTCTTCTGCATCTCCAGCATTTCAGTTAGCTAAATTAAACTGTTACCCTGGAGACTCTGCAGAACTGTGTTTTTGCTGGTTTTATTGTTTAGGGCAATGAGTCAGACAAGATCAACAGCCCACCTTAAAATATTCAGTTATTACCTCTTGTGATGGAGCTCTGCAAGGGATTAGCTCAACAATTTCTCCTTCCTGAGATTTTCTTGTGTATCTATCACATTCCCTTATTAGGACAGTGAAGATTTTACCAATTTAGAGTAAATTTATGATATTGTGGTCAACTTATGAGCCATGCAATATTAAATGTGGATCACCCTGCATTGTTCTTGAAATAATGAAAATTATGGACTCTGTGCATAAGCATACAAATGATAGATTTAAAGATGAGGTTGTTTAAATCATCTCTAGATCAAGTAGTCTTGGGAAAACCTTTAGAGTCCTTGTTACAGTCTATTTCTATAAATGTTATAAATCTACAATATAAATGCATTGGAGAGAACCTTTTCTTTATGGCTGTTGAAAGAAGTGCAGTAATGCAAAGGTGGGCTTGGGATATTCTTGAATGGGACCCTGCTCCAAATGCAATGAGTAAGGAGTAAATGTTCCTTATTCCTAAAGCTCATGGATTTGGATGAACATGATCGCCAAAAATCTGGAGGGCGAATGGATAGTGGGAGTGACTGGACCTACAAGGAAAGATGTTTCAGGGTTTGACTTTTAATGCAGAATGAAGAATTACACACTGTACAGGTTGTTTTGTTTTGTTTTGTTTTTTCAATTAAAGATGACCTTTTCTTTTCCTTGCTCCTGAAAAAAGTCTTTTGGATCATTAGGTTAGATGCATGCTAAGGGTTGTTTGTGTAACTGCAGTACATAAGAGTTGATACTTATTTCTGAAGTTGAGTGACAGTAGTTATTGTTGCCAAAATTTACAACTTACACCCAGACCTGGTTTCTCTGTAAATTTTAGCATACTGAAGTTGAATGTCCTGCTGACTTTCAATCACACTTGAATCCAGGCCAGGAGTTTGAGGTGGTTTGCCTTGTTCAACTCCCTTCTCAATTTTGATTAATTTCTATCATCTCCTGGTGTCTTCAAACAATGTCTTGTACGGTACTAATCTTTGTCTTTCTGGCAAAATGTTTGGAAGATTCGGGAGAAGAGGAAAAACGCCTTCCTATCAGTCTCTTGTGCTATTGCAAAAAGGGGAAGTAGATTTTTTTTTTTAAATTTAGTGAAAACTTGAAGCAGGGGACGTTGTCCTGTGAAAACACTTTTGGAGTATTTACTTAAATGCCTTGAAAATGCGATGTTTCCTACAGCTTCAAGTAAGTTTCCCTAATTGTATTGTTCGTCTTCTCATAGTATTTTAGCCAAGTTTACAAAACAAACAAAAACGTTGCCTCCATCTCAGACAAATCAAGTCTCTAAATCCCCAGCCCAAAGTGGCTTCTGTGTGCATGAGTGGCAAAGAATTCTTGAGAATCTCAATAAAAGTTACATTTTCCCTTTGATAGGTTGGAAAGGAAGGGGAATGTGTGACCATTCATCACAGCTCCAGGCTCCTTAGTACCCAGGAACTTTCTACTCTAAATGACAAAGAGTTTCACTGTCACCAAAGAGAAATTGCTGCTGACCTTAGACCTCTTTTTAGAAAGTAAAATAATGGAGCGCAGGAGCAGAGTTTGATATTTGACCGAATTCTACACAATTATCATGCATGTGTATATAATAAAATTAATTC